GCATTACAGGTGCGAGTTCTGTATTGCATTACAGGTGCGAGTTCTGTATTGCATTACAGGTGCGAGTTCCCTCGTGTTGAAACCGAAGACGACCGACGACGTCTCGCGCATCATGGCGCACTGCGATAAGCGCCATCTGGCGGTGGTTCCGCAGGGCGGGAACACGGGGCTGGTCGGAGGCAGCGTTCCTGTGTTTGATGAGGTCGTGCTTAGCACTGCGCTCATGAATAAGATCCTAGACCTCGACGAGATATCAGGTGAGCGGTGCAGCATAACCCGGGCGATCGATGTGTGAGGTGGAGTGTGGGGGGAGGGGAGATTGAGAAGTATTTATTCAAACATTCGACTGCAATTCTTCCAAACTTCCATGTGTAATTTGATGATCTAACTCAATGAACATATATGCAACATCTGTCTCTCTCTCCTCCCCCTCTCTCTCTATGTGCATGCGCGTACACATACAGACACACTCACCACCCCCGCACGCGCTTGCCTTCCGCAGGTGTTGTCACGTGTCAGGCAGGCTGCATCCTGGAGACGTTGGATGACCACGTCGCGGAGCGCGGACTCGCGATGCCGCTAGACCTCGGAGCGAAAGCAAGCTGTCACATCGGTGGTAACGTGTCGACGTCAGCCGGCGGCGTGCGTCTGATCCGATACGGATCGCTACATGGGAGCGTGCTCGGCCTAGAAGCCGTGAGTGTTGGGGGTGAATGCATTCCAGGGCTCCCTCTGGCTGTTTTAAAGTTTGAGCCAAGACTTGAGCCACCAAAGTTATTTTAAAAAAACTAATTAAAACTAAAATTAAAATTAAAACTAATTAAAAAACTATAGCCACTGTTCACTTTATTGTATGTGCTAAGCAAGGCATAAACAGGTGATGGGCATGGGAAAAGAGGTGTACGAAAACATTTCACGACACGACACTGCAATTTCTTTATTCAATCGTAATTTTGTGAGCAGTTAAACCATTTGCTATGTGCTTTGGCCAGTGGTGGGGGAAGTTTGGAGAAGCTGTTTCTGCAACCCTGACAGCGCTCTGTCTCTCGCGCGCGCGTGTGGATAGGTGCTAGCGAGTGGAGAGGTGCTGGACTGCATGTCAGGGATGAGGAAGGACAACACGGGATACGACCTCAAGCAGCTGCTGATTGGCTCAGAGGGAACGCTGGGCGTGGTCACCAAGGTGGCCATCTTGTGTCCCAGCAGACCGGCGGCAGTCAACGTGGCATTGTTGGGTAATTGTTCGTCTTGGCTGTTAGCGTCAGCATAGAACTGCCGGCAGTAGATGTTCGAATAAGACGAGCTCTTAGTATTTTCACCTGCATGTAAAATTAACAATATTATCACTCTTCAAGTATAGTGTCTTTTATTGTCCTCTTAGAAATTTGAATAAAATGTAGATTCAATAAATTTCTTTGCATATTTAACATGCTCGCTCCAGTTCATCTCTCTATCCATTTAAATCCCTTCAGTGTCTTCACTACAGATAGTTTGGTGCCACCCTTTCTCCTTTGGTCTGCAATTGACATGCAAGTTCAGGACTACTCTTGTTTCTCCTTTCAGCCTGTAACAGCTTTGCAGATGTGCTAAAGACACTGCAGAAGGGCAAGGCTATGCTCAGTGAGATACTGTCTGCCTTTGAGCTGATTGACAGTGCTTCCATGATGGCCGTGGAAAAGTACCTGCACCTCAGGTGTGCGTGCGTGTGTGCAGGTGTGCGTGCGTGCGTGCGTTCGTGCATGTGTGCAGGAGTGTGTGCGTGCGTGCGTG